CTTCAAACGATACAAACTTGTCAGGAAAAACATTTTTACGCTCATAAATGATGCATCTACGTATCGCAAACAAACACTTGCAAACGCGAACCGGAGTACATAAATACCCCAATTCGGTGTTTGTATCACAAACAAACTTAGCCTAAATTTCTATTAGCTTCTTGAATTACAATCAGGAGCAAAGGAGCCAAAAGAAATGAATGTAGAATTGAATTGAACTGATGTTGTGATGGATATAGTCTTTTTTCCCTAATTCCAAATTAAATAATGTTGTGATGGATATAGTCTTTTTTCCCTAATTCCAAATTAAATAAGAAATGTTGGCGTGTATATGATGTTGAAAGCGGTGAATACTTTGTCTCCCGTGATGTAGTCTTCCATGAGAATGTATTTCCATATGCCGCTAATCTAAAAGGAACTCTGGAAGACAACCCTGGCCCAGCCATTGCACCAGCTGATACTGTGGTTGATGATGATGTTTTTCACGGCCACAGAGGAAATAAAGACAGGGGGAGTGATACAACCGATATTTGTGGTAGGGGGAGCCTTGAAAATAATGATGATGGTAGAAAGGAGGAGCAAGGAGATGGAGAGAGTGTGCAGGAAGTAGAAATCAATGGCGGTGGGGACGGAATTAGTGTGGATCCAACACTATGAACAACACCAGAAGAGCAACTTGGTAGGGGACATCGACATCGCACGCCGTCTATTCTGTTAAAGCCCTACGTAACCTACATTGCTCGGTGTTTGAAAGACCCCATTCACACTCAAGCCCACTCTGAATCAAAGTCCTCAGGTACGATTCCCTTTCCCATAGCAAATTATGTGACATGTACTAATTTCTCTACTAGACATCAAGCTTTCTTGGCTGCAGTCACTGCAGAAGCCGAGCCCACCAACTTTTCTGAGGCAATGAAAAGTGAGAAATGGAGAGAAGCTATGAGAAAGGAAATCCAGGCTCTGGAGGATAATGGTATTTGGACATTGGAAACTCTACCTCCCGGGAAAAAGGCAATAGGGAGTAAATGGGTTTATAAGATCAAATATAATTCAGATGGAACGGTTGAAAGGCATAAGGCACGCCTAGTTATTCTCGGGAATAGATAGGTTGAGGGATTAGATTACAATGAGACTTTCGCTCCTGTGGCCAAAATGACAACAGTCCGAACCTTCTTAGTTGTGGCAGCCACTAGGAACTGGGAGTTGCATCAGATGGATGTACATAATGCATTCTTACATGGGAATTTGAATGAGGAGGTATACATGCAGTTGCCGCCAAGTTTCACATCTAAGGATCGAACAAAAGTGTGCAAACTGAAGAAATCTCTCTATGGATTACATCAAGCTCTCAGATGTTGGTTCTCAAAATAGACAGCAGCCTTGATACAGTTCGGGTTTGTTCAATCGTATCCTGACTACTCTTTGTTCACTTATTTCAAACGCAATGTTCGTATGCACGTGCTGATATATGTTGATGACTTGATTGTTGGGGGAAATGATACAGTAGCCATTGTGAAATTTAAAGAGTATCTCAATTGATTCTTCCATATGAAAGATCTGGGTCCACTCAAGTACTTCCTAGGTATTGAAGTAGCTTGTGGCCCTGAGGGAATATTTTTGTCTCAACGGAAGTATGCCCTAGACATCATATCGAAATGTGGATTATTGGGAGCCAAACCAACATCCGTGCCCATTGAACAAAATCATCATCTTGCACTGGCAAAGGGCGCTCTAATGGAGAATCCCAATCAATATCGATGACTAGTAGGGCGGTTGATATACTTAACCATCACACGACCTGAACTGTATTATTGTGTTCATATCCTAACTCAGTTCATGTAGAGTCCACGGCAAGAACATTGGGAGGCAGCTCTGCGAGTAGTGCGATATATGAAAGGATATCTTGGACAAGGTATATTGTTACATTCTGATAGCAATCTGCGTCTGTATGCTTATTGCGACTCTGATTGAGCAAGCTGCCCGTTGACACGACGCTCGTTGACCGGCTATTTTGTTATGTTGGGGTAGTCACCGGTTTCTTGGAAAACGAAAAAACAACATACTGTGTCACGCTCCTCGACAGGAGCAGAATATCGTTCAATGGCTGCGATAAGCTGTGAGTTGAAGTGGATGAAAAACTCATTTTGTCCTTGGGAGTGGTGCATGATGAACCTGCACGATTGTATTGCGATAATCAAGCAGCTTTGCATATAGCCGCAAATCCAGTGTTTCACGAGAGAACAAAGCATATCAAAGTCGACTGTCATTTTGTTCGCGATGAGTTGCGGCATGGGAACATTGTTACTTGTCATGTTCGAACCACAGAGCAGTTGGCTGACATCTTGACGAAGGCTCTTGGAAAAGAAAAATTTGCATGTTTCCTCGACAAATTGGGCATTCGAAATCTTCATGCACCAATTTGAGGGGGAGTATTGGGAAATCCTCATGCATATCTTATCTTCATCCATGTATCTTTAGCTAGTTGTAGTTCCCTAGGGTCTTTGGCTAGTGGTAGTTTCCTACTGCAACTAAATCTCCTAAATTGTATATATACGAGTGTATCTTGTATAATGGACACATAGAATTCTCCACAAAGATTTTTTCACATACACTTCAGTTGAACTGATTCTAATTAATAAAACACTATGACTTATCAGAAAAAGAAGGAAAGGCTCTAAAACTACGTGTCGATTGAGTAATTACTAGTGAATCAAATGTCACCGATGTGTGATTGTGAGCGAGTGAGCGAGAGAGAGAGAGAGAGATTTACTTGTCAAATGCCATGTGTGACTATGTGTGAGAGAGAAATAGATAGAGAGCGAGTGAGAGCGATTGAGAGATTTACCGATGTGCGACTAAGAGAGAGTGAGAGAGAGAGAGATGGGAAGAAGATGAAACCTAAAGAGGCGTGGGGGAGGAAATGTGGAAAACAATACCTAGCCCGTGCATTTTGCAGCTTTCATTTGGTTTCTAGCTGTAGTTTTAATTGACTGCCGCTATAGATCAATATTTCTAGCAGTAGTTGCCAAATGTCTAGTTCGAAAATTACCGCTAGAGATGTATTTTATTGTAGTGATGGATAAGTAATAGCTTAAGTGGTAAGATGTAGGACCCATATAGAGTGACAATATGAAATAAAAAAAAAAAAAGAAAATAAGTATGCAAATGTAAAAAAAATAATAAAAAAATTAAAAGCCCAAAACAAAAAAAAAATTGAATGAAAATAAAATAAAAATGAAAACATATTAAAAGTAAAAGAAAAAAAGAAAAAAAAAACAAAACACAATAATATGTTATATAATAAGATGTTCACAAAAATTAGTCAAAAAAAAAGAGTAAGATGTATGCAAAAAAAGGAAAGTAAAGCCAAGAAAATATAAAAAGGGAAAAATAGAAAAGTAAAAAAAGAGATAGAAGAAAAAAAAATAGAAAAAGAAGATGCCCAAGGTAGGTCATAGAAGAATGTCAAAATAAGCAAAATATGAGAAAATGGTGCACAATGATCTAATTGATGTCCTTTTATAGAAGTATTATTGTCGAAGATCCAAAATTCAAAAAGCATTGCAGTTCAACCCAGATTTTTTACCATGTCTGATGCTCCTCCCAAGACCGTTTGCATCTCTCAAATGGTTGTCCTAGCAAACAAAGAGGCAATAGTGCCAACTCATGTCCCTCTTATAGTGACTACCTCTATCTCCAAGAAAGTTTGAATGGGATATCTGTTAAGTTGGCCAATTTGCAAGCTGAGAAATCCTAAACAGCTCAATCTGCTCTCGTCATGGAAACCCAACCATTATTTCCTCCTGCATTATTTGCCCTTTGACTCTTTTCATCCCAGAACCCTACACTTATGCCAGGAACAACATACTGGTCGCCTCCCTTTGTCTTTACTATTGGAGCCAAACATGCTCATCAGTCAAGGACATTTTCCACCTATAACTTTGAAAATCTAGTTATACATCAACCCATGGTTACATCCTCTGGAGAAAAGGGGTTCAAAACCTAGGAGTTACATGCAAATTTTAGAGAGTTGTACTTATACCCTGACATGGAATTGCCTACTGAGTTTAAAATCCCAAACCTTGAAAATTTTGACGGGGAAAGATGCCCACAAACCCATTTGAAAATCTTTTGTGGTGACATGTTTCAGTATGGCTTAAATGAGAAATTACTCAATCAGATGTTCCAAAAGAACCTTACAATGAGTGTTGGAACCTGGTTTGCAAATTTGGTAGATGAAAAGAAAAGGATTTGGAAAGGTGTTTCAGAAGCATTCTTAGATAAGTTTTCACTACAAAAAAAAAAATACATATTTGTTAGACAAACGTTACCAAATATGGCACAAATGTCATGAAAACATTTTCGTGATGTTTGCTCACTTGTCACCAAATGTAATGTCGGCAAAGGTTTTCATGACGTTTGTGATGTTTAGCAAACATCACTAAACGTTTTCAAGAGTCACCTATGCCTAGTTTTGGTAACATTTATTTGTTTATTTTTGTAACTTTTCCAATAACATCATCAAGACCATTTTTTGCAATGTTTGCTAAAGGTCACTAAAAGTTTTCAAGAATAACCTACACTCAATTTTGGTGACATTTATTTGTTTATTTTTGTGACGTTTTCGCAAACGTCACAAAAAACAGTCTTTTTATGACGTTTAACAACATCACCAAAAGTTTTCAAGAGTCACCTATGCCCAATTTTGGTGAAATTTATTTGTTTATTTTTGTGACGTTTTAAGAAACGACATGAAAAAAGGCATCTTTTAATGACATGTGTTTAAATGTCACAAATAGTGCCAAAAAGTAAATTTCCTTTTGTGACATTTAATAATAAGCATCATCAAAAACCTTGGTGGCATGAAACACCACCTGTATGTTTGCCATAGCCCAATATAGAGCTCATATTAACCTGTTTCTAGATCAATTATATATGACAAAAATCTTAAATCCATTCATTAAATCACACGAAACCATTCAAATTAAAAGATAATATCATTAAAAACTGAAATCTAGTATTTAATAAAAGGTAATATATATTTACAAATGTTCACATTTTAGTTCATATGAAATTAAAAGATTACAAAAAAGGAAAATAAAACACTCATCAAAAGAGTGTATTTTCCTTGCCAAAAAGATTACAAATAAAGGAAAATAAAACACTAATCAGAGTGCCTTTCCCTTTCCCTTTCATTTCTCCTTCCCCTTCTCCCCCCTCTTGTAGGCACTTGAGATGACATTGCTCTAGGCTCTTGCATCTGTTACAAAGCACAAAGAAATACAATATTATTTTCACACTAAAAGATGTGAGCAAATGAAATATAAACCAAACTTATAATAGATTACCAGATTTGGTGATGGTACTTCTGGAGTGGGATGAGAATTATCTCCACTATGAATTGGAGGTGTTGCTAATTCACATCTCTACACATAAAGGACAGTTATGAAAATGCATTATTATTTTCATGGTAAAAGATGTAAGTAAATGAGAAATAAAACCGAACTTATAATAACTTACTAGGTTTGGTGGTGTTACTTCAGGAATGGGATGGAAATTATTCCCACCCTGAACTGGAGTATTTGCTGACCCGTGGCTCTGCACCTAGAAGCAGTAGAAAAATATGAGTAAAATATTTTTCAGTCTAAACAAAGAATAAAAAAGTTAAAACTATCATGAAATTGTTTATTCTTAGGGAACCTATAAGAGCAAAACGAAGACTACCTATCATAATTCAAATGAATTCCACCAACTCTACAATCAAACTCTTACCCATTCATATAAAACCTATCTCATCGCTCTCTTATTCCCTTCGTTTTTCTCCTCTCATTCTATTGTCTCTGGTCTTTATCTCTTCTTTCTGTTCATTTTCCCCTTCTTCGGTTTCTTGCTCTCTCGGTGTAGAAAGAAGTTCTATCTCCCCCATTTTTCTTCTTCTTTTTTCTAAGAGAAGGTTGCTGCCATTTGTGCCATGTTTTTCTATGTTTCTTTACCTGTATTGAAAAGATACATTTCTGTTGGTTTCTTCTATTGTGAGTGTCAAATATGGAACAAGAGCGATTGTTGTTGCTTTCTAAGTTATAGGGGATGTGGTAGGAGTTTTTGAATCAGGTCAAGGTTAGCTTTTAGGGATATTTCTAAAGAAAACCACTATAGTGTTACATCGTTGCATGCATTCTATATTGAAATGCTAGAGTGGAAGTCCAACGCCACCACGGTTTTGGTCTCTAATAGAAGTGTAGAAGTTGAGAAGAATCATGTCAATTGTTTGATAATGCACATACCAGCACTTCATGAAATATCTATTTTGTTTTCAAAATCTTATTTTCTCTTACTATTATGTTCTTTTTCTTACCTCTAGCAGAAACAAACATTCTTTTTTTCTTTCTTAAACTAAGGAATAATTGCTAGTCTCTTCTTAACAGTAATTACAATATCTATCATGTATCTCATGTTTTTTTAGGTACAAGATCAAGATTGCTAAATACAAGCTACTTTTAGCTTGCAGACTGGCCACTACCCTTAACATACCAAATTTGGAGCCAACCACCCACTATAGTCTACAGCTTGAATGCTGCCTTTTTCTTCCTATATTCTTTTTTCTTACCCTAAAGTTTGAAGTAGGAAGCTTCCAGGAAAATAGTATAAACCCATCAAGGGGCATTGGTCATGTCAATCAATCTAATGGATAAGCATTTAATGGACAATAAGCTAGAAAACCTTTTTTACGAGTTTAAGACTCAAGAGAAGAGAAAACCTTTCAGGTTTTAAGTTTTCCAAACCCACCAAGGGTTTGATTGGTTGTGGGTCCCAAACTTCTCTAGCCATCAGGGGCTATAGATAGAATAAGGGCATGTCTGAAACAAACAGAAGATACACAGAAGATTCCCTTCAATTGTTATGCTAGGTCAGTGTTGACATGTTTTTGAGTCTTTGACATGGGTCCAACAACATTTTGAAGTGTCCATCTAACATAAATAAAATGTTTCATGCAGCATTGGTTGCTATTGTTCAATGCTTTGGTTGTGATATGTCTCCTCTTCCCATAACTGCCTGGGTTTGGCCTTGGGTGGAAATCCAGAAATGGTTGGATTTTAGAATCTAGTAATTAATAGGTTCATGAAGAAACTTCTAGCTTGTATAAAAAATTACGTCTCTTTTGGGAGGGAAAATAACTTTGATAAAATCTCTTCTTTAAATGTGCTTGTGTGCTATTTATTTAAAGCCCATATGTTGGTAGTTGAAAAGATTGATAAAACAATTGGGGAATTGATGAAATAACTTGTGTGATATTACTTTTGGAGTCTCTTTCGGTAATGTTTTAAGCGTACAGTAGGGATTACTTCTTTATGAAAGATCAGATGAAACTTAAATGAATTAACTTTGAAATTACATCACTTTTCTTTTACCTATTTTTTAGGTGTTAAAACTTAAAATCTGTTTCTTTCTTTCTTTTTGACTTGATTTGGCGACATTAGAAAAAGTTAATGAGTTATCTATCCAACAAGACCATGATTTTGCAAACCTACACGTTTTGAGAAAGTTATGGCCATTTTACTGATATGTATATTAGTCCTTATGGGTTTTGAGCCTTTCCATTTTCTTGTCCTATGCTGAAGTTGTTTTTCATTTGTCTAGTTTTAGTAGAACTAATAATGAGTATTTGGAATTACTTTAGGAGGTTAAATTCTTATTTGAGTGGTCCTATGGATTATCTATGTTTTGTATTAGTTGTGAAGTAATTAAAGTTGTTTCTAGTCAATTTTTGAGTATGAAAAGGGAGATTAAGTCTTCTATAAATTGAGACAATATAATTTTATTTTTTATCAGTAATAAATTAGTAAGAATTTTATTTCAAATAATAGAGGAAAAAAATCTTGCATAGATTAGACCCTAAGGTACAATCATAAAAAGCTAAGAGAATCCCTAATCACACCTGTCTGCTTCTCACATTAGGGCCTAGTACAAATCAGTCCCATTAGCTTTCTCCCTAGCAAGGTAATCAGCAAAGGAGTTCACAACCATAGGGATCCAATTAAATGGAGTAGCTATACTGGATGTCAAAAATCTAGCTTCCCTCATATGGTGGAGGTAAATACGAGGGATTGATCTATCACCCCATAACCCTCTTAGTGCAACTTTTGAAATAACTACATGATACAACCAACCTTAGTGCATGTATTGATCTATCACTCTCTAAATGTCAACTGATCGATCTGATTAGGCAACCTTTCTACAAATAAAAGCAGAACAATTATTTGCAGGTCTAAGTGTTGCATCTAACCACACTTAAGAGAGAGAATAAGTACTATCAAATCCAGAGTTCTCCTATCTAATGGACAGTTCAGATTAACCACATATTTCCTCCAATGTTGAAGAAATAGGAGGGATCTTGGGTGGGGGGGACTGATTGGCCTAATTAAACAGATGAGCATTTCTAAATACTGATACTCAAGTGTAAAGCAATTACTACTCAAATTTGGAAGCATAGCAATATGGAAGTGCCTTTTATGAAAAATAAAAAATAAAAAACAAAACTCCATACTCGTGAAGAACCAACTTACCAAATCAAACTAATTAACAAAAGGCACATACCTTGCCTGCAATATAATCCAAAAACCAGGTTGTTTTAATAATTAACTAGAAGATAAAAAAAAATTAACAAAATATTTAAAATTTGGAGATTTCATTCTGGTTTCAAGAGTGACTAAAACCAAATATAGGGAGAATAAAAACCCCATACAATTTCAGTTTAAATGGAAGAGCTTTGTTTAGGGAAGTGGTTGTGGAGATGGCCTTTGGAGCGGGATAGACTCTGGCACGAAGTAGTGAAGAGTATTCATAGATGTCCAGAGAGTGGTTGGGATGCTGGTGCATCAAGGAGGGCTAACCTAGCCACACCTTGGAAAGCAATTCACAAAGTTCTTCCGCAGTTCCTTAGCTGTGTCAGGTATGATGCTTGTTCAGGTAATTCTATTCAGTTTTGGGAGGACATTTGGGTTGGAGATCTCTCTTTGAAAGACCTTTTTCCTTCATTGTACTCTGTTTCCTTGTATAAAAATGAGGTGATTTCAAAATTCCTTCCGTCGAATTTATCCTTACCAACTTTGTCTTGGGATCTTGGTTTCCATAGAGGATTAAGGGATGAGGAAATTGAGTGTTTGTCTACTCTTCTATGTCTCCTTGATAAGGTTTGGTTGGATCCCTCAAAACCTGATAAAAGGATTTGGACCATTCACCCCAAAGGGTCTTTTTCTTGTGGTTCCTTTTCAAGTTCCTCTGTCAATCTCCCTCTCATCAGAGTTTCCCTTTCAAGGAAGTGTGGTGCATTCTTTGTAGATAGCTTTGTGTTGGGAAGTGTGGCATGGTAAAGTAAACACAATGGACAACCTACAAAAGAGAAGACCCATCCTTTATATTTCACCAAACTAGTGCATTCTTTGAAGATCTCATGGTGAGGATTGTAATCATCTATTTTTATCTTGTAGTGTCACTGCAGAGCTCTGGGCTTGGCTTCTATCTTTGTTTGGGTCTAGTTGGGATATGCCARCAGAAGTAAGCACAATCTTTAACCCTTCTTTCTTCTCTTGGCCCCATAAAAGAGGAAGGAAAATGTGGAAATGCTCACGAGCAGCATTGTTATGGACAGTATGGGAAGAAAGGAATGCCAGAATCTTCCAAGAGAAAAGAAGAAGCAGTCAAACCTTAAAGGACTGCATTTTGTCCAGGTCTTTACATTGGTTAAAGACTCTAGAATTATTTAACCATTTTACTTTTACTGATTGTTGGAAGGATTGGAAGTTGGTAGCAAGCTGTTCCTCCTACAAGGGAAGGGCAKTGACTAGCTGGGTCCCCCCTCCTCTTGGTTCTTTGAAGCTGAATTTTGATGGGAGTAGCCAGGGTAACCCGGGTCCCTCTGGGATGGGAGGTGTACTGAGGAATGAGGTTGGAGAGGTTGTCTTAATCTACTCTGGCCCTTTAGGAGTTGGGAACTCTATCCGGGCAGAACTGCTAGCTGCAATACAAGGAATACTTCTTGCAAAAGAAGTGGGCGTGGAGCAGCTTCTGATTGAAGGAGACTTTAAGACAGTGGTGGACTGGTTAAATAATCCAGAGGATGTCACTTGGGGCTACAAAAATGAGTTAAAGAAATTCAAATGGCTGACAAGAAACATGTCTATAACAGTACAATGGGTTGGGAGATCAGCTAATGCTTTTGCTGATGTCTTGGCAAAACAAGGGATAAATAGGGAAACATTGTTCTGGGCACAATTGTAACTATTGTTTTAATTTCAACATTCATGTTWTCYCTGTTGTAGTTTGTGTATTTGCTGTTTGGAGAGGCTGTTCCTCGCGCCTCTAAGGGGATCTTCTTGTATCTATTCATTATTTTAATAGAATTGATGTTATTTATCAAAAAAAAAAAAAAAAGAGCTCTCCTCACTACCAATTACTTCCTAAACCCCATCAGTTAGGATAAGACCTACTTTGAGACCTCCACCTCCCCCTATTACTGCCTTCAAGATGATCCCATGTTGCCACTCCCATTTGTTCCACAAGACATGGATATGCTCCCTTCTTAGAAACCTGAAATCTTGGATCATTAAGCATGTCCTCTTCTGTCAGGTGCTCCAGGTCAAGCATTGCAGTGCATGGTTCTAGATACTAGGCATTGATCATTCCTGACCTGGGCCAGAAGGAAATATTGGAGAAGAAAATAGGAATTCTTTATTATTATTTGTAGATTACATATTTTTACTTCTAGCATTTCTTTCATGGTTTTACTTCCAGTTTCTTCTGGGAATTTATAAGAATGCATCTGATAGCTCTAAATGCATCTTTGCAGAATTTATATGATATCATATTGCCATGAGATGTGCTAACCAGCATGATTAGTAATGGGGGGAGAAAAGAAACAAAAAAACTTGACAGGTCTAGAGGAGTGGTGGGCTGCCAGAGGATAGATCTTTGAAAGAGGAAGTAGATGTCCTAA